TTTTGAATATGCTCTCCAGCCTCCACCCTGGTATAAAGAAGAGCATATAGCTGTAAACAAGCCCGAATTACCATGTGGGGTGTCCGAGCTGAAGCAATATGATGGACCTCAATGCTTTGTTATTCCTGGAAACCATGGTTGGTCTTGGTTCTTGGTCTCCCAAAACATATTTTTTCCTGATATGTAAAACGGCGTGGCAGTGAATTATGTTTCTCATTAACATCTCTTGTAATCCTTTGAACCTATACGAAAATTTCGTCTAGGTTTGTTTCTCTTTAAATGTTGATTTGGTGTAGATCTTTCCTGGTTTTGCAGATTGGTTTGATGGACTTCAAACCTTCATGAGGTACATATGTCACAAGAGCTGGTTGGGTGGATGGTTTATGCCTCAGAAGAAGAGCTACTTTGCTTTGCAGCTACCAAAAAGGTGGTGGATATTTGGTCTTGATCTAGCTCTCCATTGTGACATTGATGTATACCAATTCAAATTTTTCTCAGAATTAATAAAGGAAAAGGTATTTTCTTTGTGTGGTCTTTTCTTTTTGGGCTTTCTATTTTGCAATTTTGTTATTAGGATCGCTACGAATGTTCATTAGTGACATTAGTGGTGTATTTGAGTGCTGTCATATTAGCTGCTACACAAATATGTGGACCTTTTCCTTGTGATATGCATCTATTCATAATAACAGAGTTATTGACTGGATCATTTTTTTGAACGGGTCAGGAGTCAGGACATGATTGAGTTCATGTCCATGTAGGTACATTAACAAATAAGTATTTGCATAAGAATGAGCAGATGCATGCTCATCTTTGTGATTAAATGCTTGATAATGGACACTGAGAATTGTAAATTGCTTGCAATGGAAGTGCCATCCATAGAGTTGATATCAGAATGTCCCTTTTGTAAAGTGTCAGTGAACATTTGAGAGAACTACTCAATTGATGCAAGATAATTTATTCTCCAAATCTGGCGTATGATGAATTTTGTTCGATTTTCAAGAAGGTAGGGGTCATGCTCTTGCTTTGAAAAGGGGAGCCATGAAGCTTAAACCTCTACATATTCCATGGCTCCTCCTTGTATTTTTTTTCCTTTCTAGATTTCAAGTTAATCCTGAATGCCACGTTGTTGTTAGTTTCACCATCACCATGAAACTTCTATTCTATCAGAGTCAGTGAATCATGTCTTGCATTTGAGTGTTTGTTAAATAGTTCAGTTAGAATTATCGTTATCAACCGTTTACTCCAGCACTCTCTTACGGGATCTTCTTCTTTTGTTTTTCTTTTTTCCTTGTTGGATCACACGTCAAATGGAAGTCCTTTGCAGGTTGGGGACAACGATTCTGTAATCATTATGACACATGAACCAAATTGGCTTCTTGATTGGTATTGGAATGATGTGACCGGGAACAACATCACATACCTGATACGTGACCATTTAAAGGGCAGGTGCAAACTTCGAATGGCTGGGGATTTGCATAATTATATGCGCCATTCATTTGTTCCTTCAGATAAGCCAGTTTATGTGCAACATTTGCTTGTTAATGGTTGTGGTGGGGCTTTTTTGCATCCTACCCATGCCTTTAGGAATTTCAACAAATTGTATGGGACTTCCTATGAAAGCAAGGCTTCGTATCCTTCTTTTGAAGATTCGAGCAGGGTAAATAATCCCAATATCCTTGCAATTACTATGTTCTTATTTTTGCATCATTTTGTTTGTTTGTTGCTTGCTATAATGTGCTAATGATTTTTCTGCAGATTGCTCTAGGAAATATTTTGAAGTTCCGAAAGAAAAATTGGCAATTTGATTTCATTGGTGGCATTATATACTTTGTGTTGACCTTTTCCATGTTCCCACAGGTGAGTTTTGACTTTTTGTCAGTGTTTCTCTTAGAGTCATGCCAGGTTGAGGTGTTTAGGTGGTCTTTGCCTTGAAGCCTGCCAATTAACTTGTTCCTCATTTCCTTCTTGTCAGACTTTGGAACTTTAGTCACCAACAAAAAATATTTTTCCTGTCCCACTTGGTCTTATTTCAGTTGATGGATTTATTCGGTTTTCTTCTCTTTTTAGATAAAAAGTTCCTCTTGGATGCTTTAGTTATATGCCATGTCGCTGTTCCACAAACAGATGATTAATTATTTTTCCTCCTCTAGTGTGAGCTAGGCCATATTTTACAGGATGATACATTTTCTGGTCACCTAAGGAGCTTCTTTAGCACAGTGTGGGATGCTTTTATGTACATGCTAGGACATTCACATGTATCTTCAGCAAGTGCTCTGTTATTGTTAATAGCTGCTATCATGTTTGTACCCTCCAAAGTATCTCGGAAAAGAAGGGCAATAATTGGGATTCTTCATGTTGCTGCCCATCTGTCTGCGGCATTAATTCTCATGCTGCTGTTGGAATTGGGAGTTGAGACATGTATTCGGCATAAATTATTGGCAACTTCAGGTAAAATTTTCTGTTCCATTTCCTTTGTTTTCATCTAATTTATAGAAATAAGATGATTTGCATTTCTGTTTAACTAATAAGGTTTTGTACTATTTGTCATGTGTCCCCAACTTGCCTTGTTATACATGTCACAATTAAGCATGAAGTATGATGGTCTGGGTATAATGAAATATATACTAAATTAAGCCAAATCCTCATTGTAATTACTTGCTACACGAATTCTTTTGCCATTTTTCTCTTTCTAAGGTCCAGCATGGGCGCTATTATGGATGGAAGGGATAGTCAGAAATTGGTCATTAATATCTTGGAAGGTGTAATGGTTAAATATATAGAGATTGAAGGTAATTGTACAATAAAGTGGATGCTAATTTTCAGTTCAATTTTTATAGTTTTAGATCTTTTGGATTTATCTGCTTTACATGTGTGAATTAGGAATATGGAGGTTAAGACTTTAAGGATATGATTTTTGTGAAGATAATATATCCCATATTTGCTGTTGGAAATTCATTCACCAGTGAGAGTGTTGACATCACATAATGTTTAGTCATTGCGTTTCAGGTTATCACACTTTATATGAATGGTATCGATCAGTGGAGAGTGAGCATTTTCCTGACCCAACAGGCCTCCGGGCTCGTATAGAACAATGGACATTTGGCCTCTATCCAGCATGTATTAAGTATCTGATGTCTGCATTTGACGTTCCAGAGGTGAGAATGCTTTCCTTTTCAGGAACATGTGTTGATACATTTTTGTCACCCTTTCTTTCTTTCTTGTTTCTGCATCTTATACATTTTGTTAATGCATGAGAGAAATCATCAGGTCATGGCTGTCACAAGGAATAATATTTGCAAGAAAAATATGGATTCACTCTCCCGTGGGGGTGATGTGATATATTATGCTTCTGTGTTCCTTTATTTCTGGGTCTTTTCAACTCCAGTGGTTTCTTTGATCTTTGGAAGCTACCTGTACATTTGTATTAACTGGCTTCACATACACTTTGATGAAGCCTTTTCCTCACTCCGTATTGCTAATTACAAGGCATTTACACGTTTCCATATCCTCCACAATGGCGATCTTGAAGTTTTCACCCTCGCAGTTGATAAGGTAACATATTAATGCATTGTTTTTCTATTTGGTGGTTGACTTTGGGAATGTGAAATTACTTAAAAACTAAACTATGAGATTCATATTTTTGGCGCATTCCATTGGGCACCACCCTTCAGGTCCTTCTCCAAACTCCCAGTTTTCTATTTTTGCCTGGAACTAGTTGTATAAATTCTTCAAAACAGGAATCCTCACTGTGTTTAGTACTAGCCAGCTCTGGGATTGAAACGCTGATTCACTAAACTGTAGTATATGGTGAATACGGTCTTCTAATGTTCCGTATTGTTCTTCGGAGTGCTAGGGGTGTGTCAAAGACTATTTTATCTTCCTCTTTGTAAAACAACACTTGAAGTCCTATGGATATGCAGGTTCCTAAGGAATGGAAGCTGGATCCTAATTGGGATGGGGAACCAAAACAACCAGTGCAGCTGAGCCACCTGAGAAAGTTTCCTAGCAAATGGAGAGCAACTTCCTCTCAGCAGGACCCAGGTAGCACTGTACGGATTGTTGACCAATTTGTCATTAGACAAACCGACCAGGAAGCAGTGAATGGGCAGTAACTTGCTGACATCTGATTTGATATTTGTAAACATATGTAATTTGTAGTCTTTAGGAATCAATTGAAGAAAGGGGAAAGAAAAAGGTTAAAGGTTTAGAATGTACTCTTGTATGAATCAAACCAAATCGGATGGGAAAAATAGAAGACATAAAAACACTTGTTGCAGTTTAATATAATATTGTGGAATGGAATGAGTAACTCCCCTCAAACTGGCATGGATCAGCAATAATATGTACACCACCTTGTTCGCACCATTTGACAACGTGACATGATAACAAGTTTGTTTTCATGTATGGTTTGTTTGGTACTTGCTAAAATGAAAATGCTTATGGAAATAATCAACTTTAAGGAATAGTCAAGAACACCAAATGACAATCCCCTCCAACCACCCCCCTACAAAAAAAAAAAAAAAAGAAGAAAGAAAGAAAAGAAAACATACAAGTTGGAGTTATTATACAATCAGTGGAATTTAAATTAGGCTGGAAACATTCTGCCATGGAGGTAAAAACTATCAAGGATAATGACTATAAAAAGTATGTAGTGGAAAAGATGAATGATACATTTAAACTCCTACAAGACTTACGATCTGGATATTTTTAAAAGTAGTGTTAGTTACTGCTGTAATCAAGATTGTTAATCTAATTTTTTCTGTAACCAAAGTCCTTTCAACTGAATTAATAAAAAAATCATCTTTTATTAGTTCCCGTGTTTTTGTTTATTAAAATTCATTCAAAAAAACCCTGAAACAAGACATTAAAATCTCTCACAAACAGTCGTCTAAAAAACTGTTTAAATTAAGGGTGAAAAGTTGAAGTATACTCCTCTTTCCTTCCCCATCCGGCTGTATCAAAGAAGGTCACCAACTCCGTTGTTCCATTTCATCAATCGGCGGTCCGATGTTAGATTGGACCTGGAAAAGCTCCGAAAAAGTAGGAGAATCCATATTCAATATGTTTTATGCCTTGTAATCGATCGATTTTGCTGACCTCTTGTTTGGCTTCAGACTTGAGTTAACCATGAGTTCATATCTGTCTCGTAAGAAAATGAAACATATGGCTGCGTAATCAGATCCATTTTCCATGCTAACAGTCACCAGCAACATGTAGAATGATATCATTTGTTGTGAAGATTCCCATATATTTTCATTTGTCAGTCACACACACACATGCATACTAAACTAGATTAATTGATTCCATGTGTCTTCTGATCATGATAGTCAACTAAGGCAGGAACTCCATTAATTTGTGACAATGACACTACATCGTTATATTAAAAATATGTTCAAAAAAAAACTCCAATCCTTTATTTAATTTCATATCAAATAAAGATAGACTTAAATCACCAATGATTAGATTTTATTTTCTTTTAAAAATTTGATGGCCAAATTTCACCATTCTCTAAATTTAAGTTGATACTCCTTTAAATCTTAGTTTGTGTATTAGAACTCTTTTATATCAAATCAAACTTTTTAGTCATATATTGATTCAAATTTGAGTAAAAATTTGGCCAATGAAGATTGAGATGCTGTCATGAGTATTATTTAAAAAAACAACATGACTCAAGAAGCAAGAGTTGTGATTCCTTTATTATTCTTTAATTTCCTCTTTTCTAATGAGTATTATTTTAAAAAATAACACGACTCAAGAAGTAAGAGCTGTGATTCCTTTCTTATTCTTTAATTTCCTCGTTTCTAATGAGTATTATTTAATTTGAAAAAAGACGACCCAAGTTATTAGTCTTCCTCGTGATCATTATAAATATATGTGAGTTAAGGGGATACTTAAATCAAGTATAGAGTCTTGTATATATAGCTAAAAAATAGTATAAAATGACTTGAACATCCATCTGGTCTATGTAAGACATAAAATAGTAATGGAAAAAAAGGGAAGGAAAAAAAAACCTAATAAACTAGACTCCAACACTTCCCCTTAACCTATGCACAAAAATATCAATTAAGTCAAGCTTGACAATGAAATTCCAGAGAATTGATAGAGTGACAAGTTTAGTAAAATTATCTACAACTTGATCACTGGTTCCCACAAACAATGGAGTGATAATACCATAACTAACCTTTTCTCGAAGAAAGTGAACATCGATCTCTATATGCTTCATCCTCTAGTGTAGTACAAAGTTAGAAACAAGTTGAATAGAAAATCAATTATCATAATATAATGTGGATGGAGAATTCATTGGAAATCCCAACTTGCCAAGAATCGATTATAGCCAGATAATTTCACATGTGTCAAGTGCTAGGTACTCAGGCTCTGTTGACGAGTAGGACACAACCGTTTGCTTCTTGCTTTTTTAAGATTTAAGATATAAGATGAGTCCCTCGAAAAACACAGAAGCCCGTAGTAAATCGACCGTCACACGCTCCTCTATAATATGAATCTAAATAACAAACTAAAGAACCAACCTGATATCTTGATGCATAAAACAACCTAAGTCTATAATAAGACTTGAGGTACCGAAGGATATGATAAACTACATCAAGATGAGAATGACACGGCTTGTACATGAACTGACTAACTCGGCTGATAATAAATGAAATGTCTGACCTAATGTTGGCTAGATTGATAAGTCTACCTACCAATCTCTGATAGACAGTCGGATCTCTCAACTTCTCACTTTCAATAGTAAGGTTTAGGTTTGAAAATATGGGTGATGATGTCGGTTTGCACCCCAACATGCCAGTGTCTGAGAGAAGATCTAGAACGTACTTCCTCTAAGAAAGAACAATACCCCTACTATTACAGGCAACCTCAATCCCAAAAAAGTATCGCAGAAATCTAAGGTCCTTCATATCGAAGGCCTTCCCAAGGTCTACCGTGACTTGTACATTTTCAAAAATATCATCCTCAGTAATAATAATATAATCTACATATATCAAAAGGATCATACGCTGCTTAAAAATATTCCATCAAATGAAGCATGTATGATCAGAATGACATCTGGTGAACCCTAAATGTACAACTACACCACTAAACTGAGAAAACCAAACTTGTGTTGACTGTTTCAGTCCATAAAAAGACTTACGCTATTGGTACACCTTCTCAGCATATTCCCCTTCACCACGAAAGTCTAATGGTGCATCCATATAAATAGTCTCGTCTAGATCACTGTGAAGAAACACATTCTTCACATCCAACTGATGAAAATATCAAGAATACTTCGCAGCCAGAGATATAATCAACCGAATGGTAGTTAATTTTGCCACAAGGAAAAGGTAGCACCAAAATTATGACCTGATACCTGAGTAAAACCCTTCACCATAAGCCTAGTGAGCGAAGAGCACGAACAATGACATCATAAGCCGACTGGTTGTTCACCATAAGCCCTTCACCATAAGCCGACTGGTCGTTGAGCACCGATGGTTGCCTCACTCCTCGTTCTCTACCTTTTGCGATTTGGGGCAAAATCAAAATGGCCCTAAATCAATTTTTCATTTTTTATTTTATGGACTTCAAACTGGTCCAGTTTTTAAAAATCATTCAATTCACGGTTTTCTCAAAAAATTGGCCGATTTGACAATTTTTATCCGGTTCTCTTCCTTATGTGGTTTAACTAGTCAACTAGATCGGTTGGGGTTTCGGGTCACGGTTGAACTGGTCCGATTCTGATAAAATTACTCTAGAGGAGGGAACATTGTTACTACAAGGTCACGGTGACTTGTAGTAATAGTGACCAATGACTCTGGTTCATGTGGTAAGGGAAAATCAAAGAGACTATTATCAACTAGAGGGGCAAACACAAGAGTGGAAGAAAAATAAGAAATATGCTCAAGAAAGGTAAAATATAGACTATGATGCATACGATGCTTAATAGGGTCATAACATCGATACCCCTTAGACTGACGACAATAGCTCACAAAGACACAACAAATTGCTTTATCATTAAGCTTATGACGAGTAGGAGACCGATTTTGAACAAAACAAGTGTAGCTAAAAATACAAGGGGGGACCGAAAAAAATGTCTGCTCAGGGAATAAGACCAATAAGGGAGCCTATATTGAAAAATACGACTCGGTATACAATTACACAGAAAACTAAAAGTCAAAACAGTAAAATATCAATAAGATTTTGGCACCCCATACCTCTAAGCATACAACGTATTATCCCTATTAGACTCCTATTTTTCTTTTTAGCAACTCTATTTTTCTCAGGAGTATATGGGCAAGTGAGCTATTGAAGGATACCTTGAGAAGAAAGGTGAGACACTAAGACATCATACACATATTCTTTGGCATTATCTGAACGAAGAGCACGAACAATGACATCGAATTATGTCTTAATCATCTATAGAAGCTGAGTGATGACAAGGAGTACATAGGATTTCCTATGCAAAAGGTAGACTCTAGTACAACGAGTAAATGTCACAAAATATCAAGTACCTGACAGAGCAGTAACAGGGGAGGGTCCCCAAATATCAGAGTGTATTAGGTCAAATGGCCTGAGTGACTGATGTATGCGAGGAATATAACTAGTTCTAACATGTTTTGATAGGGAATATATAATACAGTCAAGTTTATCACCAACACAAGCATTGCTCAAAGCATAAAACAACATACATAAATATTTAAATTTATATGCCCAAAACTGTCATGCCACAATTGAATAATTTATGATGAAAAATCATAACAACGAGTACTAGGTAAAATACTAACATGCAAGATAGAAACAAACAAAGATAAAGTAGGTGCAAGTGATGTAGGTGTAGGAACTGGTAAAACTAGAGGTAGATCGCCTAAATAAAACAGTCCATCTCTTTCATATCCCTTGATAATAATCCTTTTGATACTCAAATCCTACAAATAACATGAACTAGATCAGAACACAACCACACAGTAAAAATCTCTAGCTAATTAATATACATATAATAGATTTATTGTCAGTTTTGGCGCATGAAAAATTAAACGTAATGTAAATCCATCTGGGAGATGGACTGTATCCCTACTAACAATAAGGGTATGTGTTCTATTTATTAACTAAGTCTGTGTATGTAACTGCTCGTCAAAAGTGGTGAAATGATGGGCCTCACCTGTCATGTGATCATTTGTACTTGAGTCCAACATCTAAAAGGGAAACGGACTGGCGCAAACACGAAATACATAAGTTATGCTTGTAGTAGTCACAACAGTAGTAGTCAACCCCTGAGAAGTCAGGGTTGACATAAGTATATCCAATCGAAAAACGGACATAAGTATATCAAATTGAGAAATAATAACATCCATATCACTCTACTAAGGAGGAACAGTAGCAGCAGGAATAGCAACAGAAGGTGATGGTCCCTCAACAATAGTAATAATATGACCACGAGGAGGTGGCTTAAGCTCTGGATGGAGCTTCCAACAAACAACCCTAAGATGTTATAATGGGCCACAATAATTGCATTGTTGAGGATTCTCTTATCAGCATTGATCTGGGGCGTCTTGCCAGCGTTGGTCCGAGCACTGTCCACCTTGGCTTAAGGTCCTTAACAAGACCCTACACAGTTGCAAGGGCCATTTGGTAAGCCTGAGGAGGTATGGGCAGTGACTAGGTAGTGGGTTGGGCTGTCACTAGATTGAGGTTGGGTTGTGTGGCTAGTTTTGTTGGAGTTGGATTGAAGTTAGACAGTGTTGCTGTCGGTGGGTTGGGATGCTGGGGTTGGTTGGGTTTGTTGCTGGTGTTTCTAGTGTCGTTGGGTCTGGGCTGGTGTCTGGCTGTCGCTGATGTGGTGGTGTGGCTGGTCTAGTCTGGTTCCTGGGGTGTCGTTGATGTGTAGTGATGCAGCAGTAGACTGTTGTAGTTGAGGCTAGGATTAGGGTTAGGGGTAAAGGTGGGGGCTAGGGTTTTTTTTTTTTTGGCTTTGATACCAACTAGAGATACTCGTGAGTTAAGGGGATACTCAAATTGAGTATAAATTCCCGTATATATAACTAAATAATAATATAAAATGACCTGAACATCCCTTTGGTCTAGACAAGACATAAAAGTCATAGTAAAGACAAAAGGTAAAGAAAAAAACCTAATAAATTGGACTTCAACATGATCTAAAAAAAAAAAGTTGTTAGTCTTCTAGATTTGTATAATTTTATAATGAGTATTATTTAATTTGAAAAAAAAATCAAACACGATTTAAACAATAGTTTTTGATTTCTTTATTTACTAGTCTCATTCGTTTCAATGTATATTTAAACGAAAAAAAAAGACCAAGAATACATTGATCCAGGCTAGACAAATAATTCAACTAAAATGATAAAAGACACCGCACTAGTTTGATTATACAAATAATAAACATGTCAATTTCGTGTTACATAAAAATAATCGTATTTTGATACAATAGACCCATTTAACTCGTATTGTAAGAAAGAAATGTCTATTTGCTTTTATTTTCTTATTTTTGTGATCATGTTATATACGAATCCTCGTAGCATATAATTTAGTACAAAAATTTTGGTGAACAGCAAGCACAGCAAGTATATTTGAAGGTGGGACAACAATTTTTGATTGTTCCCATGTACTTTGGATGCAAACAATTGACTTTTCTTTTGTTTTTTGTGTCTCACAATGTGTATGGTCGACAATTTCTGATTGTTCACATGTGCTTTGGATGCAATCAATTGGCTTTTCTTTTGTTTTTTCTGTCTCACATTTGTATAATGTGAATGCATGTAGGTCAACACTATTAGGCCTTTTTTTTTTTTCCTGTTAACGGAAAAAAATTTAGTGACAAAGGAGAGTACATAAAGACCATCCTAATAAGTTTTTATTAGTAGAATTATGAGATCTTTGATCATGTCCGTTACTTTTCTTGAAAACGAACATAATTAATTTAATACAACAGTCAACTACCAAACTCCAAGATTAAAATTCTAACTGAAAGATGAGAAGTTCAGTTAACTTTACCGACCCAAATATTTTTTTTTTCTAAAAAAATAAATTTCATTTATAATAATGTTTTCCCTTAGCAAGCGTACAAATTTAATAAACAGATTAGAATAAAAATAATTTACAAGAGACAACCAAAAAACTATGAAATACAAATATTTCAAAATCGATGAAAAGAAAAATCCCTTACAAGTACGTGATAGCTGAGCCAAGGTTTTCATGAGTACAAAATATTCAAAAAAAAAAAAAAAAAGGTATTTCAGTGTTATGAAGCTTTCCATTTTTCACGGCTAACCAAAACAAACGAATGATTCTAAGGTCTCTCAAAAGTGCACGTTTCCGTTCCCATCAATATCCCCATAAACTGACAATAATTAAAAAGAGAAATGCTATTGAAATTTAAAAATTTGACATAGTTTATTGATAAAATGATGTGGCTTCACTATGACCTTTGGTTTGATTGTGGGTTCCATCAAACATAGAAACTTGGTATTTTACAGAAGAGAAGTCATCATAATTGACAAGTATTTGAAAAACGAGTTGAGCTTAAACAAGCTAAAAATGAATCAAATTTACGCCGAACTCAAATTGCTCGGTTTAATTAACAACTATACGTGTCAACTCAATGATATACTTCCTGAGCGGGTGCCTTAGCAGTTCTGTTCTGCATGATGAATATGTTTGGTCTGCAAATAATACCTGGAGTGCCAGACTAGTTAATAGACTTTTTTATGTTATGCATACCCATGATCGTGCAGGTCTTCCCAGTTCATCTGATTCTTTTCATGATTCACCTCCTTATGTTGATTGGTATGAAGACAATCCAATGACTCTTATAATGTAAGCTATTATGTAAGTATGGTGTAAGCAGTAATATGAGATATTATGTACGTATGATGTATGCAGTGCTGCAACATATTAGATGTGTTTGAATGATATGGTTGGACTGAATCAAAAATCTAAAAAAATATTATTTCTTATCCAATTCATATCTATCCATCATTCAACTGGTTAGGATTTAATGTGTATATCCTATTTTTTCCACCGTTTTGATAACATAAATACATTTTTGTGACTCATGGACATGGTTGATGTAAACAGGAGCGGAGCTAAAAAGTCATGTCAGGGTGGGCACAAATATTTCAGTAATTAATTTTTTTTTATAATCAATATTTAATACTTAAAAGTTCATTAAATTCAACATACAAAAATTTGGTAAGCTTAATATATACAAACGACACCAATTTTTTTTTTTTTTTAAAAAAAAAAGCTAATTAAAATCATTTAGAATTGATTTCGGTGAATTTTCATACTTTGAAACAACTGCATAACAACTTTATTATTTTTTATATGCACCATCATTTTATCACTTTAGTCTTTATATACATAACATGTCCAAAATATGTCAAAAAAATTCATACTTATTTGATAAAAGTGTACACTAATTGATGGGCCAAAAAAATAGGGTGGACATAATTAAAAATATTGAAGGAATGCTTGAAATACATATAGGTAAAACTAAGAAAAAAAATTTGAGGGTGGACATGTGCTCCTCTGGGCATACGCTGGCTTTGGCCATGCTCTCCACTAAACCTATCAATTGTGCAAGGAATGACAAAAAAATCCAAAGAATTGAGGAATGAGTTTTACTCTGTTTTTTCTGATTGGACAATTGTGAGTGAGTGAGACAGAGAGGAAAAAAAAAGATAACTAATAAAATAGGTGTTATTGATGTCTGTCAAGTGGGCCAAAAATTTTGTTTTTTAATGGTGGGCCAAAACATTTTATTTTTTTAATAAGTTTGGGTGAATTGTAATAGGTCAAAGATTTGAATTTTTAATAAATTTTGGTAGATAGTGGTGGATTCAAATTTTTTATTTTAAATATATTTAATTTTTTAATTATTTTGAGTAAATAATGTGGGCCTAATATTTTTATTTTAGAGTTTGGGTGGGTACAAATAATATATTATACAAATATATAGTATATATACTTAACTAATAATTTTTTTTTTTGAGGGGGGGCACGTGCCCATCCTGCCCTAGCCTCCCTGCGCCTTGGATGTAATATGTTGTCATTAACTGATATGCCTTTAGCCCATTCAATCTAACACCATGTTTGATCGTTCTTTGGCTGTGAGTTCTACGACTGGGTTTGTCGGCTTTGATGTAACTGTGCACCAAAAATTCTTACTAAAAACAAAAATATATATGAGAATTATTTATTCTAAGCCAATATAAAAGTCATGATAAACAAATATTTATTCTAAGTCAATAAAGGAGCTTCCCCAGTTGTGCCACCACCAGAGCATTATACTATACAGACTCACAAACACTGCCACCACACCCACCAGAGCAATGGGCATATTGTTTGGGACCAAAAAATGTTCATGGAGGAAGGCATGATTGATGGCTTTGGGCAAATTTTTGCGATCCAAACACACTCATTATATAAGTTTTAACCTTAGATTAGATTGAATAAATTTTGGAGTCCAACCTTCTTATAAATAGGGGCCTTGGGTTCCCGTGAGAATCACTCCCTCCACCATAATTCTTGTATAAATTACCCACTTGTTTTGTTTTCCCACACTACATAGATATAAGCCAATTGACTGATCTTGAGAATTCAAAACATTTTTTTAATGATTATTTTTTTATCGGAATTCCTTTATTCAGGTTAGAAGAGCTGGTCTCAAATGTGGATTGGGTGCTTGCGGAGTGGAGTTCATTTGCAAGAATTAGAATCAAGTGAATTAGCGTGAAGTTATCAAGTTAAGGTTCCTTAAAGTTGTTTGATAGGCAGTCCCATGGTTTACCAGATACTCTCAATATTATTAATGCCTCGCTTACTAGAACTACACCACCATTCACGTTATGCCGTTATTGCCGTCTTTGTGGGTTGCTTCCCTTTCATTTGGTCGGACAGTATACACACTCTCATTCAGGAGTTGGACAACAACAAAAAATGGTGGTCTATGTATGCCTGTCTGCTTGGTTTTTTCTATTTCTTTTCATCTCCATTTATAGGATACACAATCAGACCAAGCTATTCAAATTTTAGCCGCTGGTAAGTTCTTCGTCTGATCCTGTTTTTTCATACCTGTAAGCGGCCTGGTTGCACCAACATACATGCACATGAATTATATTAAGAGGGGTTACTACGATTGAGTTGATAAGAATTGCTGATCCAGGGTTTTTACTCGCAGGTATATAGCTTGGCTATTACTTGCGGCTGTCTACCATCTTCCCAGTTTTGAATCAATGGGAGTGGATTTGAGGATGAATCTTTCTTTGTTTTTGATAATAGGTGTCTCATCCTTTTTGTTTCTTCTTGTTTTCCACGTTATATACCTTGGCCTTTGCTATGTTGGTCTTGTTGCTCGTGTGGCAGGAAGGAGGCCTGAGGTCCTGACAATTCTTCAAAACAGTGCCGTAAGTCCTTTATACCCGTTATTAATTTACATGATTTATTTGTGCCAACAAAAATGAAAAGATAAAAAGTTGTAGGGTTACATAAAACATTATATTTGATAAAGAAGGGCAATAGACGAGTTTTTCATCCAACTTACCAAAATCAATTTTTTCAAAAAAAAAGAGGAAAACTGGATGAAAAATTAATTATGTGTGTTGAAATGTATGTTATTTGTCAATATATTCTTTAATATATACATAGATCATATTCATAAATTACATATTATATATACATTAATTTCATGTATAGATATAATAATAAAATTTGTATTTATACTTCATTCATACTACCAAACGGGCCATAGCATAATATGTTTCAATTTCCAGATGGTTAATCCTTTTATTTGTCTTTCTGGCCTCTTTTTCTCATAGGTTTTAAGCGTCGCCTGCTGTGTGTTTTATAGCCAATGTGGAAATCAAGCTATTTTAAGAGAAACAACGTTTGAGAGGACAAATTCTGGTTGGTTTTCAGTTTGGAAAAAACAAGAACGAAATCCTTGGCTTGCAAATTTCTTCCGTGTGAATGAGTTTAAAGACCAGGTCTGTTCATCTTGGTTTGCTCCGGTTGGGTCTGCCAGCGATTATCCACTTTTGTCTAAGTGGGTTATTTATGCAAAGGTATAATTGAATTGGGGTTATTTTATTTAATATTATTACTCTGTACACTGTGGAGGATCTTATGCAACTAGTGCCTTTTGTCGTTGTGCATTTTCTGTCCAGTTAACTTGCCGTGGCTCTTGTGCGGAATCACCTAATGAGATATCTTCCATATACTCGTTAGGGACCACTTTTATATGGCTCTACATTGCCAATTATGTGGTGGATAGATCAACAAGGTGAGTGAAAACTGATGGCTCAATTTGAATTATAAGTTGTGGTTTCCGATAGTTCATAATCTTAAATTTGTATTATTTAAGTGTTTCGTCCCTCCCCCCTTTTTTTTCCACTCTGTATAATTGTCATATATCTCTTAATCCTTGTTTTTCTGCTTCCTGTTTCGTTGATGATTGACTATTAACAGGTGGGCTCTAACTTACCCTTGGTCGCCAGAAGAGTATGAGAAGTTGAAGGAAAAGGAAACGAATCCTGATTTCTTAGATATGGTTCCTTGGTATTCAGGGTATCAGTTCTTTACCTCTCTTCACTGGGTTTTTTCTTTGCCTTTGCCTTTTTTTTTTTTGTTTTTGTTTTGGGGGGTGGTGGGGGAGTGGGAGGGAGGTTGCCATTTGTGGTTGGGGAGGGGCAGATGGCAAAAAGCACCATCAATTGTCTTGACATTGCTGGTGAATGTGTGCAGGACATCAGCTGACTTGTTTAAGGCACTGTTTGACCTACTGGTATCAGTCACTGTGTTCGTTGGACGTTTTGACATGCGTATGATGCAGGTAACTATCTGAGTCAAATTACACTTGTCAAATCTGTGTTTTCCGCCATTTATTTCATTTTGCTTTCCTGTTGTTAAATCTCTCTCTCTCCATTCATACAGGGGTGTGTGTATATATATATATATATATATATATATATATATATATATGCATGTACAGATGCTCTTTGAAGTTCACACAGATATTCAGCTGGATTACTTACCATTTTCATGATTGGAAGAATCTAGATACTTCTGAAGGATTGTTTTTTTTTTTTTTAATTTAATTTGTCAAGAAATGATCTAGGTATATATGTATTAATCTATATAATAAAATAGGGCCAATTTTGAATCCTTAGGTTTGCCTATCACAAGAAAGACTGAGATTTATTCAATGACACAAAATCATTTCCAAATAATTTTTCCCAAACTTGAAAATCTCACTTAACCCATACTTTTTTATGCTAACCTAGGCTTGCCAGATTAAGCCTTTTCTCTCCTATGTCTTTCTTCTATCTACCCTTTTATCACATCTCTAATTTATGAGTAAATATTGAATGCAACGGTGATATCATCTCTCAGTATTGATGACATGATATCACCAATCAATTAATTTTAAATCATATAATTAAGAAAAAAAAAGAAAAATAATTAATATTTCATACAATGAGCCGACTCTTTTAAGTGTTTAGATTTTATGTTGCAGTGCATTGCACCCTCGTACGTCTTAAAATATGGCACCTCAAATTAGGAATGGATGCAGCAGGAACTGGTTTGTTCCGGGCCAAATCAAAATAAGATTAAAATGGCAGTTATGTATATATGCTAATATCATCTGCCCTCCTTGTCTATTCTCAGGCAGCAATGAGTAGGGTTCAAGACGAAGTCAAAGAGGATGATCTTTTGTATGATATATTCAGTAAGAGTAATGAGGATGATCTGTGGTTTGACTTTATGGCTGATACTGGTGACGGTGGAAATTCTTCTTATACTGTGGCACGACTTCTTGCTCAACCTTCAATTCTGGTCCGTAGCGGTAGTGGTGACTCTATGCTTAAGCTACTACGTGGAAAACTGCTCCTTATTGGGGGTGATCTTGCGTAAGCTCAACTATTTAGACTATTCACGAACTTTATTTTATGGGATTTTTTTTTTTGGTTCGTTTGACTAGCAGGAAAATAGTAGGAATGACAAAAAACGAGAAATTTTTTTAAATTTTTATATGTTTGGTTAGTATGAAAAAGAAAATAATAGAAAAAATAATTTTTTTTCATGTTTGAATTTTCTTACAAATAACTAACTTTTTTTTTGTAAAAAAATCAAGAAAATGCAAGAAAATTGTGATCTATAACTAATTTCTTATTTTACCCTTATTTTTCTTAAAATATTTTATTGATTATTAGTTTAAAAAAATTTTAGTATGAATTTGATGAATCATATAATTTAGCTCAAAGACCTTTGTGTTGGTAATTGTCTTAGAATTAGATTTCGAGTCACTTTTTTAAAATTTTTTAACTTTCATTATAATTACATATTTTTTTCTGTTTTATACCAATTTAATAGAATTAACCGTAATTTAGACAATTATAAAAATTTCTTATAACTTTACATTCTTCTAAACAATAGAATGAATTTTTTTTAAAATTTTTCCGTAAATTTTTTATTCTAACCAAATATATACATAAAAATATATTTTTTATCATTCTCTTTTCATTAACTTCACTTTCTATCATTTTCACTTTTTATCATTTTTTTCTTCTTAATCAAACAGACCCTTAGAATTTTGTTGTGACTTTTACGTAACTTTTTAGTTTATTATATATATAAAATATTATAAGCCACGTAGAAAATTTTAAAATTTATTTATGTAAGCATGTAACTATTTTTATTTTTTAATTTTGACACAAAAAAAGTTAAAAAAGTTAAAAAATCGTTTCAAGCAGACTTTTTAATTTTTTTTAATTATTTAAACGAATACCCCAAACAATTTTGAAAGATTTTTCTACAGTCTTATTTTTTTGGCAAAATTTTTCAAAACGCAACTATTTCAGTTCCCAACACACTCATTATGGATACCAACCCGCTTAATCAATCTACTGTCAAGTTTGTCACAATTTCTTAGTTTCTTTTCAAATTTGCATCTTCTAACTGGAGCTCCTTAAATGCAACAGTTGTTTTTGGAACTTGAGGACAATGTCCTATCTTTTTTTGTTTGAATGAATTGTGTGGACTCGATTAACTTTGTTCGTTAGTTAAAATTTATTTTTGCATAAATGAAAATGTGGTTGTTTTTCTTTCTGGCATTTCATATGGAGGGTGATGGGACACTTTTAAGAAAAAGTAGGATTTAAATATGTGTCCTCGGTATTGAGGGTACGCCTTGCGAAGAAGGCCAAGTGTCCTCGGCACCGAGGACACTTTTTTCCGATATAAAGCATGTGTCCTTGGCACCGAGGGCACGACCTCTCTGATAACGCCAGGTGTCTTCGGCACCGAGGATATCCTTTGCTCCCCGATGGATCCACGCGTTCTATACAGTACCAAACTAAAGACCAATTGTGGATACGTCATCTCTTCTTCTGGAAGGGTCACTGACAGCTGTAGCCCATCACTCTAAGAACTGGTCAAAGAAATCATTGACTTGCCTTCCCAATAAGGTCAGAATGATAGCATGAACAAGACACTCCACCAAGGGGAGTCAGACATGTGGCATGACGTACAAGCTGAGGGATAAATGGACAAAAATACCTCTGCTGACACACGATTATCTCAGGTAAGCCTTTAATGAACCCTCAGTTGATGTGACATCCACAATGACTCTGAGAGCCTAGAAGAAAGAGCATTAAATGCTTCAAGACCCGAGCATTTAATAATGAGGCTTCCCCCATGCAAAATAGGAGGCACATTGTCTCGTGTCTGAGTGCTACTTACTACACATATATAAATAGTTTCCAAAAACATAGAGCAGAGGTATGCAAATTCACCCCTCTAGAATATTAAACAGTGCTTTCTTCTTTCCCTTTCTCAAAGAACTAACTTGATTGTCGGAGGGGATACGCCGAAAAATACTTTGACACCCTTATAACTTATTTTCTGTGTGCTAGGAACCGCCTCTGACATGCTAGAAGTGATCGAACAACCCCTGAAGCAATCTATCACCACTCCTTAGGTCCACTTTGACCCTCTCAACCCATTCCTTGTTATAGGGTCAACCACTTTCTCGACAAACATGAGTTCACAAAGGGAGAGGTTTGTCTTGTTCATCTATTGTGCAAAAATCACTGCGCACAATCTGGCGCAATCTGTGGGAAACGACTAGATTTTTGAAGAATAGTGACCATGGTGAATACTCGACAAAAGGGGAAGAGTCCTCAACAAAGGAATATCAATTTACCAGCTCCCTCTATTTCGAGAACGAAGGACCACGTTGAAAGTGTCAACAATGGCCTTTTCGTTCACTCGAGGGAGCAAACCCCCCAAACTAGTATGGGTATCGAGTCTGGGAGATCCGCCCTGCTGGCCCGTCAACTGGTTGAAGTGATCAAAGAAAAATTTGGAGATCAGTTATGACAGTTAGAGGAGGATAACGTAAACGTCCTAAATCGACTTGATGAATTTGCATCCTCTGGTAGAAGATTCCGAGGCGTGTCGTAGTCCCGAGAACCCTCTATCAAGGAGGTGGGACTTGAAGACATGAGAAACTGCTTGAGTAGCAAAGCAAGGAGTTCCAAGGCTCCAAAGCGCCTGAGGGCCTAGGGGCAACTCCCGGAGGTTCCAGCCAAGAGGGCTAGGCCATTGGTTTGGAACGACCTTCGTCGGGGACTGTCTGGGCGAAGGGAAGCGGAGGAGTTCGACAAGGGGTCGACCCTCTCCGTTTGACACCCAGGGACTAAGGACCATGTTGGTCGGTGTCGAGGATATGGAGAGATGCTCCCCGAGAAGGGGAATGATCTTAGAGAGCGGCTGGATTCCAAAAGGAGAGATAAGACCACACAAGAGGACGCTATGGATAACGAAGCTATCCAATCCCCTTTCACAAAGAGTATTGTGGAGATGAAGGTACCAAAGAAGTTTACGGTACCAAGGTTCAAGATTTATGACGGACGATCTAACCTAGAAGCCTATATCAGGCAATACAAGCAAATGATGTCCCTATACCACTCGGACCATTGAATACTATGCCGAGTATTCTCAATGAACTTGGGAGACTCTGCCATGAAATGGTTCAAAACCCTTCCACTCAATAGCATAAGATCTTGGAAGGAGCTAACCAGATAATTCTCTAGCCGGTTCATCACAGGGAGTAGGCGACCCAAGGGCGTCAGATCACTATTGACCTTGAGGTAGAAGGAAGGGGAAACCCTCTACCAGTACACCACTCACTACTAGGAGAAAGTGAATGAGGTAGAGGGATGTTCCGAGGTCATGAGAACTGCCTTCTTTAGACTTGGCCTCTCCCGAGACACCAATCTCTATCGGTCCTTGACCAAGAAAACGTTGGCTAATATGGGGGAGATGATGACTCGAATAAATAAGTACTCCCGTATTGAAGATGAGATGGTGGGGGGCAAAGGGAAGACTCTCGCCCCAAAGAAGAAAAATAAGAAGGAGGGTGCATTTTCCTGGAAGGGGTTGATGCCTCCGTAAGGAAGTTCCTTCAAAGGGGTCCACACCGTGTTCAAGGAGCCCATTTATAAATTGCTCCATAAGATAAAGAAGAAACCCTTATTCAAATGGCCGCCCAAGATGCAGGGTGATTTGTCCACCCGAAACCAGAAGGTGAAATATTTATACCACAGGACTTCGGACACCTCACCGAAGATTGTAGGGTCTACAAGTATTTTTTAAAAAAATTGGTGCAAGAAGGGCATTTGAAAGAATACGTCGAAACAACGCCGGAGGAGGCCCGTGGTGCCAACGACCAAACCGCCATCCAAGGCAATGTAATTGACGTCATCCTTGTCTGCCCGCTGGAATGTTAGACTTCCAAGACTCTCAGATCTGGTCTTAAGAGAGTAGCGTTCACAAATAAGGTGGCCGAGAAAGATGGGTGCCGGCCAGACAAGAGGCTCCGAACTAACAAGGAAGACATCACTTTCTCCGACACTAATCTGGTAGGCGTGGTCCTTCCCCACGAGGACGCCTTGATCTTGACCTTGAAGATCGGAAATTTTGACGTCAAAAGGGTCTTGGTGGACTCCAGAAGCTCTTTCGAGGTAATATACTTTAAAGTCTTGAAGCTCATAGGGCTTAGTACTCAGGACCTCACCAAAGTCAGTACGCCCCCTCATAGGATTCAACAGCTCATATGTTCTGCCCTTTGGAAAGATTACGCTTTTGATTACCACCGGGCCCATTACAACCAACACGGAGTTTGTAGTTATCGACTCCGATTTGCCTTACAACATTATCATGGGGAGGGCCTGGTTGCATACACTAGGGGCGGTGCATTCCACCTATCATCAGAAGTCGAAGTTCCCCACCCTTGAGGGAGTGAAGGAAATCTGCGGGGACTAAGCGTCCGCCAAGAATTGTTTTTATTCAGTAGTAAGAGTAGGGATCGCCTCTAAGGAAAATGAAGGATCCCCAGGGGAGGTTTTGAACAAATAGCAATTACAGTCCGGGCATTTGAGAGTAGATGAGCCCTAGACAAATCCAGTAGACCGCTTAATGGAAGACCTCTGGAAGGTGCTTCTGGTAGACGAAGACGAAGACAAAGACGAAGACGAAGAGAGGTGCTTCCTGGTCGGCTCCACCATGCCCTCAGCCGAGTAAGAAGAGATTACTAAATTTTTGAGAAAAAATACAGATGTGTTTGCATGGGAAGTCACAAAAATAAAAGGTGTGAGCCCCGATGTGATAATTTATAGGCTTCATGTTGATCCCACTTACAAGTCGATAAAGCAAAAATCACGGCGCACGGCACAGCACCACGCCCAAGCGGTGAATGATGAGGTAAAGAGGCTCCTCGAGGCCAACACTATCCGGGAGGTTCAGTTCCCAGAATGGCTATCAAATACAATGTGTGCAAGAAGAAGGAAGAGATGTGGCGCGTTTGCGTAGACTTCACTGATTTAAACAAGGCTTTTCCCAAGGATGACTTT